CCCAATTACCAGCAATGGAGGGAGATAAGATGACGAAAACAGAGCGGAACGGAGAAATTGGTTCACAGGCAGCACATCAAAGCAAGGAAAAGCTCGAGGATGAAAATTCTGACGGAATGGCAGCGAGGATTTCTGGTAAGTCTTGGCCTGCATGTGCGATGTTTGAAGTTAATTTTTTTGCTAATAAGTTGAAATTTGCATCTTATAGACGTTGTTTGTTGTTGAACTACAGTTGGTAGATTTTCCCTTTTCTAATTTAAATGATAGGATTTTGGTAGATATGAGATATGGGGTATGTGTAGTAAACTCTCTTGTTATTTTAGTTTCGGTGGTCCCTTTGCTATGAAGAATGCACTATGTTGTTGTTTTCATGCTACTTAATTGGGTTACAGGATAGTGACCGAGCATATGGATGTCTAATTAATTTTTTTTTTATTTTTTATGCCAAAAAAAACATAGGACATGAGTTGGACTGCTTTACACTAAAAATATATTACGGTGGGGTATATTTTGGACCATCACAAGAAAAGTATGTGGGGGGGAGTATGGAATCATTTGAAGGTGTTATTGCAAATGTAGTTAACATGTTACATCTCCATGGCTTTTGCACTCTTGTCGAATGTGGAAAAAATGTGAAAATGCTTTATAGAGTTCCTTGTGGAGATTGTAGTTTCAAACTATGGAATATAGAAAGTGAGGATGATGTTATAGACATGGCATGTATAGGGAAACAAACTGGCATGGTTGAGGTGTACTTGGTGCAAGAATTTCATATTATATTTATTGATAGTAAAGTGGGCAGTTCTAATGTGGATATTGGAGAGGTTGGTATATCAAATGAAGATGCTTTTTATGTTGACATCATGTTTGAGGAGTCTACCACATTTGAAGAAATCACTGTGTGACAGCCCCACCTTCCCCTAAGGCGAACCAAAGGGGTTAGCGGACTGCCTGTCCAGTTCTCGCCAGGACTAACGGTGCAATTTAGAGCGATCTATTGTGTTCCGGAACTTATAACGCGCGTAAACAAGTCAAAATGGCAAAATAACCCAAAATAAAAAAAATGAAATCCGGAGTCGGTCATGAATAGTAACCGACCCGTCAGAACCCAATCAAACATCAAAATACATATACAACATAACATTTAGTATTTACAAGCCAAAATGGCATACAAAAGTTACTACATGTATGGTTTGCCAAAATTAAAAGTGAAACGGCCCTAAAGGTACATTTAGGGTTTCGATTCATAAGCTATACAAAAGAGACATTCATTTAGCTCATTCGGCAACTAACTAGTAAGAATCATTCCAAAAGTAGTCATATGCCTGTAAGGAAAACAAAAGGAACGGTGTGAGTTAATTGCCCAGTGAGATACTATCACTTAAGCAACCAAGTTCATGTAATCATAAAGCTTTTCATTTCAATTCACCAAGAGTAAACAAAGGCACACATTAATGGTGGTGAGAAAAGGATACGGATGGCTCTCAAGAGCCCTTTTCCCTCGTTTGCATTTCTTGATTGGACGTCATTGACTCTCCGTCAATGTTCAAAAGTAACCAACCGTAGACTCCACTTTACTTCCATTCCTTCCACTTAACATTCCCCTACCAGGCCCGAAATCCAAACACTTGCATTGTGGTATTACTCGAGTAAACCGGAATCGAGAGTCTCTCATACTACAAGATTCCATATAACACTTCCCCAAGGAACATCAATTGGCACGACCAAGCCCTCGCCGGCTCGATTCAATCAATTATCAATGGGGTTGAGCTCGAGGATAACAATTGTAGTCGTTGGATACTCGTCCAAACGACACCAAGTCATGTATTTTTATTTCATGTAACATTTCATATAATATTTCAAGAACATGATAAACAATAAGTGAGAGTGATAAAGTACGCTCTCACTTCAATCAATTAACATTCAACGTATCAATTTCAAGTATCAAAGCCATATAGTAACACACAAGTGAGTAGTACACTCACCAAGCTTGCAAATGGTGTTTCATGCACTTCCGTCAAAAGAACGTCGTGAACCACCGTCACGCCCTAAAACATGCAAACAAGTACAATGAGACTCGATAACGAGTCATAAACCAATGCCAAATACGACCACAATAGGGTTTCATAAGCATATACAAGCATTAGAGGAAACCAGAAAATCCGGAAATGCAATTAGCTTTGCCCTGAAAAAAACAGTTTTTGACCTCATTTTGCGGTAATGGCACCAAAGGCACTACAATTATCGGATGAAGGTACAAGACCCACCATTTCGAAGCTAAGAAATAGGGCTACAATATTGTAGAAGGTCACTCAGCCCAGTTCCGAGTGCAAACAGGTCAAAAATGCAAGATACTACACTAGAACCGCAAAAACAGATTCACAAACCACATTCTGCTGCAAACAGCATAACTCAGCCTACTTAAGTCCAAATCCAGAAATTAAAGCCATCCAAAAGCTTAGAAACAGGGCTACATTTCATCAGAAGACCTCAACAACAAATTCCGAAGCAATGCCAACCAAAACACCCAATTACAGGCGCAATTCTTACATTCGGGTAAAACCAGGACAGCAAGGATAATTTCGACTTTTCTCAGGCTACGCTACTCTGATTGACTTGAAATTTTGTAGGCACCTCTAAAATATCATTCCCTACAACTTTCATGTTTTAAGCCAAGGCCAATTCGGCCTCTAACCATAAGCTACAAAACGGGGCAGAATGTTCCCAATAAAACCCTAACTTTCTAAAATTTCTTCCAAACCAGAAATTGGTTGCAATTAATCACTTTTTTCACCTCCTAGAGTCATTAAACATCATTTCCAATCATCATAGATAGCCACACAATCATGTTCATATTAAAACAGAAAAATCACCAATAAATATAAAACTTCACTAATTCAACCACAAATCAAGATGTAATCCATAATATTACATCTTATACCACCACTAATCATGATTTAAGCATCATTAGAGGAAGGAGAGTGGTTCTTCACAACTCACCTTAGAAACAAGAGAGAGAGAGCAATTGGTCCTCTTAGTTTTCCAAATAACTCACACAACACCTCACTAACACTCACTTAAGGTTTTCTATGGAACAAAAGTAAGATTAAATGGTTGTTTTGTTGATTTGGAGCAAGATGAAATCAAGAACTTGGAGAGTTTCTTCCTTTCTTTTTGCGAGAGAGGGCCGGCCAAGATGAAGAGCAAAATGGTGAAATTTTTGGTTAATTTTGTGATTTATTTGGTCAAATAGAAAAGGTGAATAGTGGTCTTATGTAAGAAGCAATCCTATGGTGACACTTGTCACCTCATTTAATGACTTGCCTAACTTTTGTCTCTCTTATACCAATCCACTTAGCATCCTCTGCTTATCTCTTAACACTCAGTAAATTAATTTCAGTATCCAAAACTTAATCAAATTGGCCGAATTTTTCTGAACTTTTCGCCCTAGTGGGTCCCACATCCGGTATACACTCTTAATTTCTCAAAACCTATTCGATACTAGAAAAATCATCCAAAAACTATATCTGCTCATAAAAATTATCTAGAAAATTTTCCTACTAAAGAAAATGCAGAAAACAAGCCATTAAATAAATAAAACCCTAGAAAATGAGAAAAGTACGGGTTCTCACACACTGTGCCAATTAAATTAATGGAGGAAGAAAATGGCTATGGGATTGAAGAAGATGTACAATCAGATTCTACAGAAAATGAAAGCTTGGTGGATAGTGATTACGACTTTAAGGATGATGAAGATGATGTGATTTTCAAAAAATCTATTGTCGATGCTAATAAAGAGTTTGAAAAAGTGAAAGAGACAACGGAACAATTGTTGATGAGAGCAAGAATCGGGGCAGAAAAAATGAACAAAAAAAACCTGTTGTTGGAAAAGCATTTAGGCAGCAAAATAGGAATGATACAACTACTGACTTCAAGTTGTACCATGAAGAAAATATTCAAGTGCATGAAGAATCAGAGTCAATGAATTCTGAAGAGTTAAATAGCAATGATAAAGTCTCGGATGAAGATAGTTCAAAGAGGAGAAAGCCAAGATACGTGAGATTTAGACCTGAGCGTGATATGGTCGATCCAAAATTCTTTGTTGGGCTATTGTTTGATGATAAACGGATATTTAAACAAGCTGTTGAGTATTATGGAGTTAAATGGGGTAAACATTTTAGGTGGGGTAAAAATGACACGTCTAGAATGCAGGCTAAATGCAATAGTGTAAATTGTGGCTGGTTCATTTATGCTTCTAAAGAGGTTGATAGTGACGCTGTTGTTATTAGAACCATGGGACCATCTTGCAATTATGGTAGGACTTTTCATCACAAGCGTGCCAATTCAGGTTTTCTAAGTAGACACTATATGGACTTTCTTAGATTAAATAAAAGGGTGAGTGTCACAAAATTTAAGGAGAAGGTGTACTTAGAGCTAAACGTGAATATCACAAGAGACCAAGTGAGTAAGACCTTCATGAAGGCAAAACTTTTGATCTATGGTAGTTTCAAAGAATAATATACAAAGCTGTGGGACTACTGCAAAGAGTTGTTAAATTGCAATCCTGGCTCAACAATACATATGGAGACAACGGTTGATGATATAAGTGGTAAGGAAAGATTTCAAAGGATATACATATGCTTTGAAGCACTGAAAAAAGGCTTCAAGGTTGGTTGTCGACAATTGATTGGTTTAGATGGTTGCCACTTGAGGGGTCCATATCCAGGAGTATTGTTGACTGCTGTTGGATTGATGTCAACGATTGTATCTACCCCATTGCATATGCAGTAGTTGAAATTGAGAATAAGAGCTCATGGAAGTGGTTCGTGGAGTTCTTGAAACATGACTTGTGCATTCATGAACAAAAAACATGGACTTTCATTAGTGATAGACAAAAGATAATTACAATTTTCTTGTTTTTTGGCTTACCTAGATTGCAATTAATGTAAATATAATACGTATTTTTTTAAAAAAAATTGATGGTTACACACTTAACAGGGATGGGGTCTGCCATTCATGAAGTCACTCCGGGTGTGGAGCATCGGCATTGTGTAAGGCATCTACACAATAACATGAAAAAATCGCATCCAGGTGAATCAATAAAAGCAAGATTTTGGACTTGTACAAGGTCATCATACATGCGCAAATTTGAGAGTGAGATGGATGCTTTAAACGAGTATGACTACAATACTCATAAGTGGCTGGTGGACAATACAAATCCAAGACAATGGTCAAGATCACATTTTAGAGAAACAACTAAGTGCGATATCCTACTGAATAATCTTTGTGAGAGTTTCAATGCTGTGATCTTGGAAGCTAGAGAGAAACCAATCTTGGGTATGTTGGAGACCCTTAGAATTTACCTCATGGATAGGATGCAGATAAAAAGGGAATGGATGAAGAAGAGGACTGATATAATATGTCCAAAGATTCAAAAAAAGCTTGAAAAGGCAAAAAATGAGATTGCCGCCAATATTGCTAGACACTCAGACGACAAAAGATTCGAAGTGCAGCATATCTACGGTGGAACCTATGTGGTTGATGTCGAAAGATGCACATGCACGTGTAGAAAGTGGGAGCTCACGGAATTGCCCTGTTGCCATGAAGTTTGCCGTATTTCACTAATAAATGCCACACCAGAGGACTACGTGCACAGCAGCTACTTGAGAGAGGCGTATTTGGCCTCGTACGACCCAGCTATTGCTCCATTACCGGGATCTAATGCTTGGAGGGATTCTGGTAAGATCCCGATCCTACCACTAAAGAAGTTGAGACTTCCTGGTAGGCCATAAAAAGCAAGGAGGAGGGAACCAGATGAATCTCGAAAGAGTAATAATGGAGTGACTAAACTGTCAAGAGTTGGAGGTACACTAAGTTGCTCAAAATGTCATGAAAAGGGACATACGGTAAGGAAATGTCCATTGGTTATACCAGCTGAGCATTTAGTTGGCCATGGCACTGGAAGGGGTCCTTCTCTCAGCAGCAACAAATGCAGCAAATGTCATGTGGACGGTCACAATCGAAGAACATATCCAACTAGTCATCCCGAGGGCCACTCTGATATTGTAGGGACTGACTTAGACCATAGCCAGGCTGGTATACATCCTCTTTTACATATTTTTAAACACTGCTATTCTGCCAAAATATTGGAAATGTCTTTCGCTGTTTTGTCTTTTTAAAATTTTCTCATATCAACAAGCACAACTAATGGATGAACAACCTGTAGCGGGTGAACAACAAACAGGTGAAGGCTGCCATGTGGACATACAAGCTGTTGTTCATGAAGAAAATGGTAAATAAATTTGATGGCACATGATTAATCTGCGAAAAGTTATATTTCAATGAATTTGACATAAATTCAATATTTTTTTTATTTCTTGCTTTGTAGTTTCAAGTGCACATTTCACTGAAGTTGTTGAATCGAAGAAGAAAATCAAATGCAGCTTCTGTCGAGCTCCAGGGCATAATAAAAAGACATGTCCAACTATACAAGCACAAGGTTGGAGATTAAGGAATGCAAAAATGAATACTTATGGTTAGGGATGGCAATGGAGGCGAGTGCCCGCGAAGGGCTCCCGGGGCGGGGGCAGGGATAATTTTTTCCCATCGTTTAGAAACGGGGCGGGGGAGTATACCCCCGCCCCATCCCCCGCCCCGCCACCCGGAAAAAAAAAGTATATATATATATATATATATAATATGTAATTTAATTAGTTATAAACTTATGATAATGATATTATTAGTCAGATGCATTATATAATGTATATTAATTTATATAATATAATTGATATTATCAATTAAATGAATAATTAGACATGTCTACTAATAGAATTTATTAATTAGTTATACTAAATTTACTAATATATTTATACTAAATTTCTAATTACACTTAATAGAATAGCATTTTTTTCTCAAAAAAAAGCACAAACATAATAATGAATTAGTGATTGTATTTGTACCAAAAATGAAAACTCGACTATTTTAGTTGTATTTATTTCATCATGTTGGATTGTATTCAAATAACTTTTATTTAATTATTTTTATGAGTTTCAATTGTAAAATTACAATGAATAATAACTTGAAAATGTGTTGATATTTTAGTATTTGATAATTTATTAAAATTTAGCTATAATAAAATTTTATTAACCCCGCGACGACAATTTTATTAACCCCGCGGGGGAAGCGGGGGCGGGAGGAGTGGGAGGCGGGGACGGGGCGGCGGTTGGGGGGAATTAATAGGCAACGGGGCGGGGGGGGGGAGGGGTCCCCGCCCCAACCCGCCCCGTTGCCATCCCTACTTATGGTCCCTACGTTGAATCGGTTGGAAAAAAACGAAGAACCAAGCAGAAAGAAGGCTTTTTAGCATTAATATGAATTTAACATTTGCTTTGCTCTTTAAGTTATTGCACTGACCTGTACCTGTTGATTATATGCAGGCTCGTAGACTCTTAGATGAACCGGATGATACCAGTCAACCAGGAATAACACAACTTGACTAGCCATGCATGTGCGATGAAGAAGCTCCACTTAGACCATAACTGAATTACAACCTTGGTGCTGTTGTTCTTTGGGTCAAGTCAATTTTGTATAGCTTTAGTTAATTTTGTGCTGTGGGTCAGCCCATATAAGATGATAGAGCATGACTGAAATTTATGGTGCTGTTGTCATGCTGGTCAACCCACATTTTGCATAGCTTTTGTTAGCATGGTTGAACCAGTCAATTGTGTTTTAGCTTTTGTTAAGTTACAATTGACTTCTTTAGTGAACGAATGCTTTTGTTACTGGCTGGAAATGTACCTGACCACATGTATTCATGATTTTACTCTTATATATTGTGTATGTATCACAATGGTTGTTTGGTTGGCAGGTGAAATTGTTCATTTTTAAGGCAACACTTTGTCGAAATTATTTTTAACCTTTTAACACAATATAATGTTATGATATCCAGTAACTAAGGGGCCAAGATAGAAGATGGCAATGATACGAGGCCACACACATTAGTGCTCAGTAGTTCAACATGCCATTTCTCTGGCAAACTTTGCAACTTTATAAGACTAGTACAATAGAGACCTTTTGTTGTTCTTTCATTTTCATTCTTATAATGAGGTAATTTGATGTTTTAGTTTCGTTAACCAGATGATATTTTCACTTCTCAATTACCCTTTAGTATTCCTTGAAGGCATTATTATTTATTAAGTGAACTGGAATACAAGAAGCTAAAATGAAAATGTGAATAGTAATTCCCTTTTGAATTGTTCTGATAAACAAGATTAAGGGTGCCTATTGAGATAGGCATATGAGCTAAGTATTTGTTTTAGAAATTTTTACAACACTCAAAGGAATTGACTGTTTGCAAGTGGTGGTGATCCCAATACCAATCAAGAAGCAAACTAGCAGAGTAGATCATATCTAATAAATTTCTCCATCTCAACAACAAGAATAAACAAAGGTAGGACTTTACAAACAAGAACAGTACATTGCATACCAACTTGGCCTTGCAACTACGCTATTTATAATGCAACATTTTGAGTCCTAGTTCCACAAGCTTTCTTCTTGCATTGTGAACCCATACTGCCATTAATAAGATGCAACCTCCTACCAGTGCCAACATCAACATCTGGGTTTTTTTCTCAACCTTTGAATTTCTATCCTCATTTCCTTGTTGTTTCCTTCGGCTTTCCCTAGTTCCCTTAACAATTTGGAAATCGTGTTCTTTGTATACTCCGGCAAGGGCGGATTGTACCATAAAAAAAATTTGCAACAATGAGCAGTCTGCATTCAAAATTAATCCATCATTAGTAATAAAACTTAAATAAATACACCCTAACCATTACAAAGATTATTAAAATTTAAGCATTTGGCTAGTCTTATTACACCGTAATTTCTTCATCCATTAAACGGATTTGCTGCAGTCCAAGAAGACACTATTCTACAGGATTCTTGGCGATGGCACTTCATGATTTCTCTCCATTGTAATATTCAACTTTTCCTGGGCTAGATCCTCCGAAATGTGAACTTCCATAGGCCTCCTTCCTTGAAGATCGATTTGTAGTTGAGCTGGACGATCCCGCATCCAAATTTTCCATCTGCTATGCACTTCAAAAGGATGAACTTGAATACATTATAGTTGTAAGCTGGTAATTGGGAATCGGTTTCAAGCCCCTAATTTCTTCCGCTATTTGGATGCGAAATGGGTTATGTCTTGAAAACCCCTAATTTCACAGGCTTCCCCTTATTTGGATACAAAATGGGATTTGTCTTACTTCCCGTAGAAATTAGGATGTGTACTTCCAAAAAAACCCCTGCCTCGCTGTTGTTTCTGTACAGATACATGTGTTTTGGGTGGCGATGCCGTATAGGTCCTCAATTGACACAATAATTTTAGTCAAGGAACTTAATTCGTGTGATAAAATGTTGAGGGACCAAATCTACTTTAGTAAAATAGTTGAGGACTAAATTGGCGATTTTCCCAACATATACTTAATAGTTGGTGACTAAAAGTCGACTAATTTAATACTTTTGAGGGACATCCAAATTTGGTGATGATTGTCAGGTACCCGTTTGCAAACTCTCGTTTTCCCTTTCTACCAAAGACCAAAGTTGCAATTTCTCTGAATTAACAGAGGATTCAAGATGTCTTTAAGCTTTCCTCTTTACCTGAATCCCAGCTTGTAAGTTTTCTCTTTCCTTTTCCTTTACTACTGGGGTTTCACCCTTAAATTTTGTTCATTCATTGCAAGTTCAGATGGTGAAGTTTCTGATATTTTGATTCTAAGATGTTTATTTCAATGCTAAGCTGTTGTAATTATCAATTTGTGCCACCAAAAAGTTGTAGCAGTAGCATTAGGAAGAGTGGAGAAGGCGGCAGCAGCAGCAGCAGGGCTGGGAGTATGAAGGAAGCCTCTGCTGTTTGTTACAAGAAGTTCATTGATTTTGCTCTGGAGGAAACCAAAGTCCATACCCATTTGGCCACTTCTCCACTGCAGGTACCCATTGTTCTATTTCAGTACTGTTTGTTGTTCTCTATTTCCAGGTAAATAAGTAGGCAACCTTGTCTGAAATGCAGAAATTGCAGTCGGAACCCATGTGCTCTTTATTGCTAATTTTAGGACAAGAAACAACTTTAGACCGATTTCATTTAATTTTGTAGAAAAGGGGTTTTAGAATAATCGACAAAAATCTTGCCATACATATCATTGTACAGGGCAATGAAGAAAAATAAGTCAAGATTATTGGTCTCTTTGGTTGGACTGGACATGTTTTTAGTTGGGGTCGTGATATAGGTACTCCATTTTTGTTACTGCCACTATATCTAGTTCACTACTTGTTAGTGGCATTCTATCATGTGTATGCAACTTCTACAGATAATATAAAGCAGGTAAAGTGGAGAATGCCAATGCCGCTGTTTGCTTCCTCTTATTGGTAGAAGTTACTGGGGATGGAATGCCAAGGCTGCCTCCCTTTAAGTTGTGCCTAGCATTGGGAAGTACTTTCAAGCGTAAGACATTGTTCTGGTTTTCTTCCCTCTGGCTGAAGATAGCTTGCAGATGACGTGAGCGGTAGTTACATTCCAGATGGTTTGGAACTGACGCTAATACCTCTCGTCCCTGTGGTCTCCTCAGGAGCCCCATGGTGATAGAAGTATCATGTTCAAGATGTTGCAGTAGTTTCAGCTTATTATGCAATTTTAATCTAATCAAATTCTTACCATAACTGCTACTCTAGCATTCCCGAGTCTGGAAAGTATCTGCTTAAAAAATGTTGTGAAGTGTCAACTATACTGGACAAGTTTCTAAATGAATGTATCCCATTTACTAGTTTCACCTTATCGGTGCTTTATGCTTCTCTGGTCTGATTTTATACCATTGAATAAGTACAATGGTGTATTGTTTCTCTTGCCTACAGAAGAAATTCAATTCCTTAATGAGTATGGACGCGCGAACTGAACTCCAAATGCTCTCATTTGAAGCACCTAAAGTTCGACTTCTCCGTTGTTTGTCAATTGAAGGGAATGACGGCATGCAGGTGTACTTTAATTTCATTCCCTTGTACATCTATACACAGTGTGCATTTTGTGTAGCATATACTTTTTATGCATTCAGTTGCTTAATGTGTTGATTATGAAAGAGTTGTGACTGGGAAGAAGTAGACAGAATTTGACCTGAAAACACTATATCTAATTAGAGTATTCTTGAGTTCCTCATCAAAAGGTTAATGGTAATGCCTCTCTCTTTCTCTTTGTCTCTGAAATTCCAAGAGGATTCATTTGATCATCATGCACTTTCTAGTTGGCTCTGCTTCGGCATATTAGAATAACTTTGGTGTATGGAATGTACCCTACCATCTTTAGGCAAAATATCTAAATTTGTCTAGTTGTTGAAGTCACGGCAGGGTTATTAATGAGTGTGAGTATTTTTTTTTTCTTTTGGCACATGCTTAAAAGTTTATGCTCTACCAACAATTACTGATTTGTGATAAATTAACTCTGGTGGTGGACTCAAATGAACGTTGACAAGAAGATTTGTGTTTCTTGGATCTTTATTTTCACGTGTTTGATGAACTTCACAACTGATTAAAACTTGTTCTGCTGATCAATTTCCATGTAACATAGGTTAGACAATTATTTTGGACCATGAATGTTGTGTTACCCAAGTAGGCATAGACTTGCGTTCTTTACTTAACAGTTATGGAGAATGAAATTTCAAAGTCTACAAATTGCTTACAAGCCACCAAATTATAAACATCTACAATACCGAGTAAGCTATGTGTTGTTTACAGAAATTTGAGGCAGTTTAACCAGGAAGTAATTTGGCTGCTTGGGAGAGATCGAGTTGTTTACCTGTTTATTTTAAAGGATAATCAAATTGGAAAGCAAACATAGAAGATAGCCTACAAAGTGCTTAAATCAGCAAGTGCTATGCCTGTATGACAATCATTATGCCAGTACACACTTGTGAGGGCAGTTTAACCAGGAAGCTGTGGCTGCTTGAGAGAAGATAGAGTTCAATGAAATACTACAAAAATTTCTGATAATAACTGGCCAGCTAACTAGCGTTATGAATTATTATGTGACATGAGATCTTTAGTAAAATATAAGCACAGCTCTTCCAAAATTTTGGTTATTTTATGATACTGGAGACTAAAAGTAGTAGAAGTTATCGTTTTTTTTTTTTTTAGTTTCACAGCCTTATGCAATTCATCTATCTTTTCTAAGTTGATCTGATATAGAGTATTGCTGCAGGTTTTGGATTTTGCGGTGTTCCCTAAGCCAGAATTTGATCTTCCTATATTTTGTGCCAACTTTTTTACAGCTGCTAGCACAAACATAGTTGTATTGTAAGCTATCTTGTTTTCTCTTTTGTCTTTTACTTTTGGCTAAGATAGCACTTAGATGATGTTGTATTCTTCTTCTGTTACTGAAATATATTTAACACTTATAACATTAGAAAGCATAGCTTGTAGAAGTAGCTTGATATAATAGTTGGATACTTGTCTTAATGTGCATTGTTGCAGGGCATAACTTGGTTAAATAGCTAAAAGTTTACGTTAAAAAATTCAGGCGTTGCTCTAGGTTGACAACTAATGGACTTCAGATAACAGGGTTTGATAGGTTAACCATTGGTTCTTTAGAACTTTGGTATCCATAATTAATATGCCCTTTTTTATTTGCTTACGTCTTCAACACATTTTCCAACCACCTTTTTATCTCACATACATCACATCGAAAAAATGCTATATTATTTTTTCAAAAAATTATTCCACATAATCTACCATCCAAACATAGCACATAGTTTTCCATCCATAATACTCAACCATCTTCTTTTGCTTTCTAAGATTAGTATAACGGAGCCGAGTTAGAAGTTGTATTTTTTTTTTATTTTTTACTTGGCTTTGTATTTTTACGTCATACATGAGGGAGCAATTATTGTCCAATTCACTTAGCTGCATTTTCATGGTCTTATCTTGGTTGCTTGAGGCAGAGGTGAATGTTACAGCTATATATAGCAATCAGGAGGATGTAATTTTTGTTGTCCAAATTATTGCTACTGTGCTTTTCTTTTGCATTTTTACATCAACCATGATACTCAAAGTTTGTGATATGTGGCTTATTCTGGATTGAAGACTGTTGAGAGTTGTATTGGTGAGCAAGAGTAAATATGGTCTTGAAGTAACTGAGAAATAACTAATCATTCGACTGTAAGTATTGTAGTTTGTTACTGACATTGCTTGCAAGCTACATGTTTTGATTAAATTGGTGTTGGATGTAATGGAAGGGACCTCAAATCACATGATTTCCAAACTTGATAACTGGCCTTTCTGTTGATATCAATATTTTGTCCCATATTGGGAGCTGGCGGATAGAATGATTGTGGTAATGCATTGTCTTGTGACTAGAGTTTGTTTGAGCTCTTTCAGGGACCTCAATCCCTTGCATGCTGTCACAGATCGGGATGACTACAAGGAGAAGTATTACAGACACTTGATTCCTCTTGGCTTAAAGTATGCTGAGGTAAAAAATTGAATAGCGCAGCATCACAAACTGCAGATTCTAGAAAACTTCAATTAACACCAGCTGAAACTGTTGCATGGTGACTTAACACAGATTTCATGCAGCTTTTACCCTGGGGTGGAAAGATTACCAGTGAATCTTTGAGGTTTTTCTCACCAATAGTAATATGGACAAAGTTTTCTTCAAGCCAATACTATTATGATGTTTTATTTTCTGCATTCAAGGATTACTATAAGGTAAATACAACTAACTTGCTTTAATATGTTGCTCGATCAATCTTTCCTGTGATCACTTTCTCTGACACTCTGTAATTTAGTTTGGAAACTGGGTGCCTAATTCAATCGATATGCTTTATACCTCACTCTTCTTTCTTTGAATTGTGGATGATAAGTATGGAATGAATCAAAAGAAGTTAACTAGATTTAAGAATTGGGCTTCAGTGCATTGCTGCGGTACAACCACTGGATGTTTAATATGTTAATGCAAAATGGCCTATATGTGGTAGCCTGTGATACTGATTTTGTTCAGGGTTTTCTCTGTCACAGAAACCACGCTATTGTATTCCATGAGACACGAGTTTAAGTGTTTGGATGAAATTTAGGAATTCTTTGAAATAACTGTGATGGTGACTTTGTTCTTCCATCTTCTAGGCGTGGCTTGAGTTGATGGAGCAAGCAACTGAAGAGATTGATACATCTGAAATTGTTTCCAACCGTGAGGCACAGCATAGGTATCTCATGTGGAGGGCAGAAAAGGTATTTTTACATTTATATAAATGCTTTTCATGACTGACTTGACAACATTGTTGTGTAATGTAACTTTTGAGCTAGCATCATTGCTGTCAGCTTGCTGTGCTTATCATTATGGCTTTTCTTACAAAGAAGATTGCGAAAGAAGAAAATACCGAGAAATATTCAAGTATTTATCAAAAGCACATAAGAAAAGCTGAGAGTTTTGAATTACTTTTTATGGGCAATAATCTGAAGGTTTGCCTATCTCTTTCTGAGCGGTCATTAATATTGGTGTAATTTATGATTGTATTCTGATTTTATCTATCCTTGAAGAGTATATATATATATATAGGGGAAGTGAAGTCTGATATGGTAGTGAGTAGTGTCTTAATCCCATAATCTCCAAATGAAAGAGATTCAAAGTTAAACTTTTTTTTCCTTCACTTTTGCCTCCTCCTCTATTAGACAATACAGTGTTAGTTATATTTGACGATTAAGCAGAAGTTCAAGTAGGATGATCAATAAGCAAGTCGGTCTTCAAAAAATTAATTATATTCTTATCTTAAATAAATCAATTCTAAGATACTGTTCTATTAAATTTTCATAGTTCATGTTAGTATATACTTTGATCATTGAGATTATAAGAAGACTCATGTCTGGCATAGGACTTACGGTTGATTTAACCATATTATGGTTGGTTTATTCATTAATGTTGAATTCATAAAAGAACTAGATAAGTTTACAGATTTTGAGGCAGAAACTACAGAAAATTTAAATGGTTAGGGTCATAGCTGGAGAAACCATTAATGGAGGAGAGGGAGAGAGTGGCGATCAGGGCTTGTGAAAATTGGGGTTTTGGGATTTTTTGTTTTTCAGGAATATGACCCATTCAACCGCTGGGCCAATGGCTCAGTGGCCACCAGAGAGGGGCTTAAGTCCCTCCTTGGGGTATAGGTGAGGGTTCAAATCTCGCTTGCAGCGAAAAAAAATCTAAGGATTATGCCATAGCATTCCTTTGGTCTAATTAGGTCTGTATACCCACTAGCCCCTTACCACAGCCTCCTTACACTCTCCCTCCCCATAAATTAGGATAGAATAGATTATATAAATGTATTCTTACTTTGGGTTGCTTGATTAGAATGTTTGGGCCAGCTTATAGGCTGGTGATTGGCCATGACTAAAAAGATAATAATAGAAACTATTTGGGCTAGATGACCTAAGGGCCAACTTGAGCTAGTAATGAAGAAGACAAACGTCATTGGGCCAAAAGTGAGAGTTGGGCTTATTTAGTTTTCAATTGAATACCACTATGGGTAAGGTTTAAACAATCTGATATGGGTTTACTATTTTGTTATTAAATAACAAGGCCCAATATAAGTTTAGTTAGGAAATACAAATTAAATTGCCAAGACACATGCTTTAATTGATTAAGCCCAAGATATTTCAATTAAAGCCCAAATTCTATTAATTAAGTATTATCAAATGAACTCAAAAACAATTTTTATAAGCCCATATTATTTAAGCAACCATTTACAAAAAGGAAAAGCCTTCTGAATGAGGAAACTTTGCCAAAAATGAAAAGTTTCCATCTTGGAGAACTTTTCAATTACACTCTAATTGAATGTCCTATTTAGAATAGGAAAGTGTAATCTTCAAATAGGGAATACAAACTAATTAGGACATATGTGTTTGATACAGGTATGAAGCAAGCATAAGAAGGGTTAAAGTTATCTCTTGTGAGGAGTTTGAAATAGGTGGTACTTAACTCTATGTGTTTTCGAAATATTAAATATGAATTTTCTCAAATGAAAGATTTATTTTGATATATGTAAAATGGATCATATATGCCTATTTGAATTATTTTGGTATTCTATGAAACATGATATGAGTGGCATGATTTTATGAAATGAAAGAAATATGTTTGTGATGTGTGAAATGAAATTATATTACAAAAGATTCTAAACGATCATGAAATAAACGATAGGGCTATAGTCCTGATATGTTATGTGGGTTATGGTAGTTGTTGTACTCGACCGATTGACTTATGTTATGTTATGTTATGTTATGTGGTCAAGAGATAATCATGAAACCTCTTGGTCGTCCTTCTAGAAGAGGTTAGTCTCTAGATTGAGTACTAAGAAGTCAGATATTGCACTTATATTATATTATGTGGTCAAGGGATAATTATGAAACCTCTTATAAGGACTTAGTCTCTAGGTTAAGTATTTAGAAGTTAGATATTGTATGTATTTGTTTATGAGCTATATTTTAAGAAATAAGATGACGTGATTGATATGTTATATGAGTTACAAAAATTTTCTATGAATATGATCATGTCATGTTACGTGTTTCTATATCTCGTTCAACGGGAGCCACTTTTATAACGGTGGAACTAAGTGTCACAGTGGAGACCACTTTTGCTTATGCCACTCACTTCTCAATGAAATATATATATATATATATATATATATATATATATATATATATATAATTTATGGAAAGATGCCAAATATTTTTCAAATTGATATATGCATGTGGGGTTATGTGACCAAATTTAAATATATAGTATGTATATAAATACATGGTTCAGCGGAGGAGTTGGTATTGCTTACTAAGCATTCATTACTCAAACCTTTATTTTTACTATCTTGTAGACCTCGAGAATTATGAGGTAGTCTATGTCGAGGGCTTAGAGGATGATTTATTTTAGAAATATGCATAGAGGATGAACAGTAGAATCTTAAATAAACATTCAAAGTTTATGTAATGTTTGATTGTACCAGAATGTTCAAACTCTATGGTTAAGAGTTTTATTAGTGCTTGGGCATATATGCTCAGTTAAACTTTTATGTTATTTCAAATTTAGACATGTACTGCAGTATAAGTAGTTTATGTGGCGAATATTAAATATAATATCCAAAGAGGAATTTTGTCTTGAATATTAAATATAATAGTTTATGTGTCTTGAGGATACAACGAATATCCTGTGCCTAGCGTGTGCGGGTTAAGGGCATGATAACAAATTGGAATTGATTGATGAAACCAATTATAAGATATATTGATCTAAATTGACTAGTAAAACCAATATATTTATATGCATCAACTCTAATTTAATTATTCGTTCTTGTGATTGTAGGAAGTGATTCATGCATAGTAGGGCATTGGATAATTGCTTATACTTGACATTTGTTGATAATTTACCCTATAATAGATATTATTGACAACCATTCTAGAAAAAATGAGGAATGGTATGATTAATTTATCTATGAAGATTTAATTATTATGTATCACAAGTAAGAAAACAATCCTATCAACTTAGAATTTATAATTAATATAACAAAATAAAAATTATAACCATTGATAAGATGAGTACGGCCAACTATATCAAATAAATGCTGTTCATGATGAAGAAAATATGTTAAATTTATGGTTGGATCATATTTGAATCAATTTAGTGGGCTGCTATAGTTGTAAGTCTGTCAATTTCAAAATCATTTTTATCAACTTCTTCATTTTTTATGTTTTTCAAGTAACACATATGTCTCTAAAATTATTTTCAAAATAATTTTTTGATAATCTCTCCTTAACGCATGGGATTTTAGTTTTTAGGAGTGGAGTTGGAAAGTCTTTATACATGAACCTAGCTACCAACATCTAGGTTAGCTGATGATCAAGCATATAACTTGCATAATATGTTACTTAAAAAACCCTAATTGGTTTGACTTACTTTTGCTTTGGCGCATTAATATTTTGATTCTATATTAAACTTTTGTAGTTGATTCAAAACATGAACATGATCTATCGACCTTCAAAGAAATGACAAACTCAAGTCAATATGCGATCACCATCTTAGCAAAGGAAAATCTGAAGAAACAAGGTCAACGGAAGCCATAAAAAAAGGCATGTACAAGAAAAGGCCAACCCTAAGCCAAATCCCAATACAGTTGGTCCTGCAACTTTAAAAGACATGGACTTTGATATCTCTCCCAAAAATCAATTGTTTGATCATGTCAATATTCCATAGTTTTTCTTTTCAAATTCCAGAAGATAATTGTGTCTTATTATTGTTAGGTTCATTTTTGCAAACAATATACATATATATAAATATAAGTAAAAATATAAATGGAAACAAAATTGTAAATATTAAAAATATATATATGTATATACTTACAAATATAAGTACAAATCTAACAAAACACAGCATCTGTATTTACATCACATAATGGTCAGTCAAACAACAAATCTAGATTTTCACTAAATTATGACACCAATCGTTCACAAATTTCTACTTTCCATTGATGTATTACTCTTTACCATGAAAATATACTATTATTGCTTCACAGTTGAATAGATAGAAAGAAGATAACAAAAATTTAGTAAGGTTAAACATCAAGCGCATGAGCATCAATGACTTTGTGTATGACAATTGAGTATGTGAAAGTGTGTATCTACGTGTGTAAGTGAGAGAAAAACAAAAGGAAATAAAAAATAGTGTTTGTTTGACCTATGAAGTTGATAAACTTTTGTAAATAAAAACAAGGGAAAGCCACACAAATAGTGCCTTATATATATATTTAGATTTGCCCTTTTTTTTGCCCTTTACTTTCAAAATAATGCAAATTTGTCACTCACATATAGATAACACATCATTTTTGTCCAAAATCATTCTCGATGACTTTTTAGCATGGCTTTGGCATGCACACATTTTTAATAAATATAAAAAATATAAAGTAGAAAAATAGAATGAGAGATTATAAATAAAAGAGATTAAAAATTAGGGTTTGTTGGTTAGGTGGAAGCTCAACTGCTATGAATCAAGTCTCAACCATATTAAAAGCAGGCCATAGGCAGTAGCAACCACTATGTAGGCTCCGATCATTGCTTATTTAATTGTTTTGAATATATCAAATATGACTACATTAAATGTTTTTAACTCTTGACTAAACTAGACTTCTTTATTTTAGCCATACTTATTCTCACAGTAGATCCTCTTGTGAATCAATTGTAAATTTATCCACACACATTTCATTGATAATGGTTGCTCAACTCAATTCACCATAGTCTTAAGATTCAACTCTTTTGGCTATTCGAATGGTTCAAATTAGAAGGTAACTAAATTCGATCGATTCTTATACACTTCTTTAGCGGTTTAAATATTATTCATGCCAAAACACTAGTTTCCTTGTTGTAACATGTAAGGTCCTTAAGAGGAAGTAAAGATAAAGATTTCTCAAGAAGGTAAACCTTTATGGCGATATGTTGAGCCTCAACCTCATTAGCTTCAAGCAAAAAGTAACAACAATTATTATGTAGGCTCTTACGTTCCCTATTTAAAAGCATTGCATCCGTCAAACATAGATTACTTAAATATTAGTACCTTTTAATAAAACTAGACTTCTTTCTTTTAGTTACACTTGTTCACTTAAGTAGGGAAATTATTAAGTCGAGATGAATTTGAGTAGACTTATGTTAGAGCTCGAACTTGACATGAAATGGTAGTGCTTGAACTCAACCTCAAGCTTGAGCTAGTATAGAAAACAAGCTCAGGATCAACTCGATGGTATTTTTCTGAGTTTGAACTTGACTTAGTTCAAGTTGCTAGCAAGATTGAGGCTTTCGAATTGAGCTAGAACTCGAATACTTGAGGACAAAACTACTATTTTTCAATGCATGATAGTAGATTCATGCACTATCCAACAAATACTAGGTTGAATTATACAAGCCAAATCTACTCCCAGCCTCCAGCCTCAAGAACTAGAATACTAGAATAGGAACTATGATTCATCAAAATACTAAAAGCAAATGCAAAGTAGAACTTGTAGTTTTTCTTCTCCTAGAGATTTGGCATCTTTTTTTGATCCTTTTTATGTGCAAAAATTGCGATCACTCTTTGAAAAGAAAACACAAATTAACCAATTAAAAAATTAAGGATCTGTGTTGATTCCCCAATCCCT